CCCGGGACATTTGGGCAACAGCCTCGAACCCGTGAATCACTTCAAGACTTCAAGACGAATTCGTCCTGGGAGAACTGAACTGAACTGAACTGACTGACCTGACCTTGGGAGTGACCTTGCATAATTCTCAATGTTCGAGTAACGGAATCCGCAATCAAGCATGACTCACCAGAGTGGCATTCACGGTCAGTTTTTACCTTCACTTATTTACAATGTTGTGATATTACTACAATATTTTAATCATTGAATTAACTTTTTCAGCTGACGAAAGTGTTATGTCTCAGTTTGCCCGATCACATGACGACGATACACGGGCCATCAAAGTTGGTATCACGGATGAAGCATTAGTGATCTTGGGTAAATCATGCATACGTCACTCCTGGGACCAAGATTATGATGCCGCTGTTACCCCCATGCTTGACGAATCTATACCTTGTTATGTATTTGTTAAGTTAGATACACATTCTCAGTTCGGCAGTGATTGGTTATTGATAAATTGGGTGCCTGAGCGGGCAACTGTAAGTGACATGTTTGAAAATGGGAACTTCAGCTCCGAAATAAAGGTTCGAGATAAAATGTTATATGCCTCTACGAGGGCTACACTGAGAAAGCAATTTGGTGAACACTTGATCAAAGAAGATATCAGTGGCAATACAATAGTACCTCATTGTGAATCTGCTGATTGATAACCCACTTTCTAAAGGAAGATGTAACATTAAACGGTTTCAAAAAATATTTGACAATGAAATCCGCTCCAGCGCCCCTAACTGCAGCAGAACAAGAAAAGGCTGATGTTTTGAAGCACGAGGTAGATTTTTACATTCAATTTTTTTACGTAATCTTAGATCGCGGGAGGTTTTTTCAGCGCCCCTCAAACAGTTGGATCTGTAACGTTTGACCTTACTCCCAAGGCTTTTGCAGCAGTTAAAGGATTTGTCGATGGGGAGTTGGATTATATTCAGTTGGTGAGTATTGTCAGTTTTTTCAAGATGGTCAAGCCGTGGTCTATGTAGCGTATGCACAATGTTTATATCTTTAGATAGCTAACACTATCTACTATAACCAAACACAGTTTACCTCAACGATCGAGTATGATAAAGAGCTATACGACTATTGCTCCGGACGAGTAAGAAGACAGATAGCTCGTGACCAACGGTTTATAGGATGAGACCTGCAGTGGAAGGTTTACACGTGTAGCGATGCAGCGTGACCCACCGGGACAAGTGACAATTCCGCGGTTGAGCGTAAACAGGTAAGGTGCACCTGGTAAAAAAAAGCTCGTTGCGAGTAGAAAAGAAGTTGTAGGTAAAAGGTGAAAGTGGCGTGTCACTACATATCCAACCCATATCAGACTACGTTACTGATACCGTCATTTTTTTATTGTCATAAACCACCTACCCCACATATTGGGTATCGGTTGTACCTCGAATGCTCGTCGAAATCATAGATACACTAGAATTCATCTATTAAGCGTCTATAATCAGAACATCACAACACTTACCTCTTGTATAATAATATTATAATAACTACGGACCAGAAATTTGGAAAATGTATAGAAAATGCGTTCTCTTACCCCCGTGAGACGCTGCGAAGATGTACAGAACGCACTACTAATGTCGTTCCTCCATTTGTAGTTGAGCATACTCCTTGCATTCTCTGCATACTGTAAACGAGCGTTTTGCATAGAATTCTTACGCAAGACTTCCAGACGGTTTTCCCCCAAGGGACGGTGGGATTCTCTGGCATCCTGGGAACGATTCACGAATCATCTCGAAGAATCAGTGTTGACAAAAGTCAACAGTACTTACCCAAAAAGTAAAATATCAATTCGCAAACGAATGAGTTAGTGAATTTCGCAGAAGAGTTTATCATGGACGGAATAAACCATTTCTTTGCCAATCAGTTTCTGCAACCGTCAACCAAGTACCTTCGTGCGACCATTTTGGTTTTTGTGTTTAGGTTTCCCATTTGCGTAAAGGAGCATAAGAAAGACCGAAATATTACCAGTAAACTCAAGAGGAGATGAAGAGTTCATTTAGACTAAAGTTGAGGGGGAATGAGTAGATGCACGAACGTCATTTGTGCGACACTACCATATCTCTCAGTGTCCCCAACCACCGTTTACCATAACTTCTAGGTCCCCATTCAGGGAGCCTAACGCGATCTATAGCACCGAGTCTCCTGGTCAGTTTTCACACCCTCATGCCATGTCTTAGGTTAACGGCCCTTGACCATTTAGTGCTTGTCTCGCTCGCCGTGGTAATCTTTTTGGTAACATGCGCAATAAATGTCCCAACCAACGTAATCTATAAAGGGTGACCGCGATTGCATAAAACTCTACGTCTGGTTTCCCCACCAGACGCATGCAGCACGGTGTAAACAGCGATGTTCCAACACCGACAGTCTATTTTTATCCTGTTCTCGTAATGACCAAGTCTCTGCACCGCAAAGCAGAACTAGCCGAAATGCTGCAGCGTGCACTCGACACTTTGCAGACAGTCGGATGTCGCGACTGCGCCACAGATATCTCAAGTCGGCAAATCGAGCCTTCTGTGGGCATACGGACATCTGTCTATGCAAATGCAGTACAAAAACTCCACCCGTGATGCGTCCGCCAGGTGAGATGTAGCCGCTCAAATAACAAAATGTCAACTTCCCCTACTTCATCCCCAGTTATAATGAGATTGGGAGCTGGACCTAATCCTAT